AATATAATAAAATAATCAAAACTTTAGGGATTAATTTACTGTGGGACATGGCATTTACTTAATAGTACGATATAATAAATAAGACACAAAATTATATGAAAATAAATAATGTAACTTGTGGCACAAAAACGAGTGTATTAATACAATTCGTACGTGCAATTCGTACGTACAGTACGTATGTACAAAATTTGATACAAATTCGGCCTCATGTTTATCACAACACTTAATCTCATCCGGTTTTTTAATGAATTCTTTGACCAATTGATTTCCACAAAATGATTCACGAGTATATTCGTTAGATTCACAACATTACGATATTATCATCGAAGGTTCATTACAAGAACGTTTTTTTTATCTTTGCGCCAAAAGCATTGAAGTGGGGATCTTTGGCACGTGACTGAGACATCTCCTTCATGTTGATCGAGATATAAAGTTGCTTCATCTTCGCTATACCCTTTAAACAGATGACCCTCGTCACTTTCTTCAGTATATTGCTCATTAGAAATTATGGAATTTTGAGCAATATTTGGTATGAATGGGCACATTTCTATACATGTATCCGATGGATTGTCAGATCTTTTGAGCATTGAAAGACAGAAACCATTGTAAAATGTAAGAATTTCGAAAATTAAGAAATTAATTATTAAATATTTTATTGATCTTTTTATAAGATGGAGGCATCATGAGATAGATGTTAATTCAATGAAAGGCAGAAGGAAATTATTTAAAAGAATTTCTCATATGAGTGAATACTTATGCCATCAGTTTATTGTGATTAATATCGTAGTCATGAATCTTTTAATTAATTCATTATGTGTACTATATCAATATGAGTTATTATACAGTTATATGTATAGAAAAATTACAAGATGTATACTTAAGGATCAATACAATTTTAGATTTCATTTCACCGACATATTTATTTCACCGACAAATTCATTTCACCGACATATTTATTTCACCGACAAATTCATTTCACCGCAGTTTTTTCACCGACAAATGCATTTCACCGCAGTTTTTTCACCGACAAATGCATTTCACCGCAATTTTTTCACCGACAAATTCATTTCACCGCAATTTTTTCACCGACACAGTTCATTTCACCGCAACTTTTTCACCGACACAGTTCATCATTTCACCAAGTTTTTTTTTACTCTAATTCTACCTTGAAAACTGTCAGTGCAATAAACATGGTGAATTGATTGTCGGTGAAGCGTTGTGTCTACGAAATGAGCGTCGGTGGGAACAAATTTTATGAACTGTTGCATTAGTTGCATTAATTAACTGTGCGTAGCATTTATAAATATGTATTTAAATAAACACTTTAACGTTAAATACTGTAATATTAGTAGATAGTGGTGAAACACATTCAAGTCTATATGTATTACATAGTTCCAGCTTAGCAGGTTAATAGTTTCAATCTAAGCTGAATGCACCATAGCGATTAATGCACGTACGCCTCTCTGGGTGAAATAAGGCATGTGACTTGAATTAGTGTTTCGTTAGTGTTTCGTTTTTCACATGTCATCATTACCATTGGAAATTTACAGGTTACGCATATCACTAACTTGATTTATCATTAGCAGAATAAATTTTTCTTTATTTGGTTCATCACAACGTAACTACCATATCGATATTTCACATTAATTCACGTGAGTTTAATTACGTATAAGTGTATTACCGGATTTAATCAACTTTTAACCGCGTTTGTTTATGATTTGACTTTAAAATTTGAAAGTCCGTAGTTTTTTTTGTTAGCCGCAAGGAGTGAACAATCCAACCTTTTTTTCCTTTGAGTTCAAAAGCTTTTTAGGTGGTTTTTTAAAGGTAATATTATATCTATCTGTTTGTTCCATTCTTCTAAATCTATATCGTATTTTTGTATTTCATTGGATTATTTAAGTTTGGTTACGTAGATTCTGCAATGTAACAACAACGGTGCAAACGTTGCACTGTTAATTAACTTTTTTATTCGCATATTAATTCTCGAAAAATTTAAATTATAGTTTTTTTACCCAAAATTCTGGATCATCATTTTTTTTTTTTTTTTTTTTTTTGAGAAAAAAAAAAATTATACGTATATCGAGTGTATTTTTTTTCCCTTATTCGGTTCTTCGTTAATCGAAGATAACTTTGACTACCTAATGAAACCTTTTCAATATATCATAGTATTCTCGAACAATTTTTTCTAATTCCACCAACTGAATAATACACTCTCATATTTTTAAATATTATTTATTTATAGACTTTAAAAATTTTTCATATATATCTTTAAATATTTTTTAGAACTTTCCGTCTTTAAAACTTGCAATTCTTTTTCACTTTTTTCACTTTTACATTTCAAAGCATTCACTTTTATAAATTTTATAATATATTGTATTCTTATTTGTATTTTTATAAACATATATAATATAGTCTTATAACTTATAGGAAAATGATACTTTCGAAACGTTTTATGGACATTATTTGGTTGCTTCCGGCAATAACATACTCTGCTTTGGTAAACTTTGTTATACCAGGGTTGGGTGATTTTTTATTTTTAAGAATTTCAACCGAGATAATTTATGGACGGGTCCATAAATTAAAAGAATTTAAACCTCTAATACTGGTATGTCGTCGTTACCATTTTTTTTTTATGAATTATTAATGTACCATAATCTGTATCATATTCTAAATATTCTAAATACTGTTGTTAGTTCGCCTTTTCAATAATAATCAATTTAAGCTTTCCATTGCCGGAAAAATCTGATCAAATAGTTCGTCATAATTTCAATTTATTATTATCTGAACTCGGACTTGATTCCTCAAAAATTACTTCAGAACGACAGCAAACTTCGGTTGATCGAATGAAAGAAGAAAATCGTCAATTACTAGCAAATTTGGAAAATGTATTTAAGTCCGGTCCATCAAAAAAAATATCAACAATGCCTATATCATATAATACACTTCATATAAATCATACGAATCATACAACAGGAAACATAAGTAGCACCGATAACGATGATAACGATGACGATATATTAACAAATTCTAGAAAACGAACTTCTCGTAAATCTCGACTTAATAGTAATAGATGTATTAATCATACAAGACAACGTAGTTCTGGATATTCTTCAAGTAGCATTGCTGCTACAACAAAACATTCTTATTTATTCTCTTCCACATCTGCTATGAATAATGGTGATACCGATATTACGGGCTTTAGTTCTGGTGATGAAGATGATCAACTTGTGGTTGATGAAAAAGCTGAAGCTGGAAATAAAGTTTATTGGATGCATAAAATCATTGAAACTGTCGAAGAATATGACCCACGTCTGACATATACTTTAGAACGTATTGGTTCTGGGTACGTATTATTAAAAAAAAAAATTAATATATATATATATATATTTATATTTATATTCATATTTATTTATTGATTTATTTTAATCTTATAATAACATGATTTTTTTAAATAGCGGAAATGGTAAATTATATAAAGCAACAGATCACCTTACCAATCGAATCATAGCAGTAAAATCAATCAATCTTATTGATTCAAAACTACTTAATGTTACTTATGCTGAAGTCATTTCCTGTCGAATACTTAAACATCCAAACATTGTTACCAATTACAAACAATCTATTATGGATAACTTTGATCAAGTTCCCACTAACCCATTTTTTGATTCATCCGCATATAAACACTCTTTATTTACCGAAAATTATTACCCACTAGATGATAGTTGTCATAAAGAATTTAGTAATCCTACTTTATGTTTATTTATGGAATACTGCGAAGCCGGATCTTTGTGGGAGGTTCGAAATAAAAGACCCCAAAAACGATTTAATGAGGTTGAGGTTGCATTTGTATTGCGTGAGGTGTTGAAAGGACTGGAATTTATGCATGGTTTAGGAATTATACATCGTGATATTAAAGCTCAAAATATTCTTGTAAGTAATGATGGTGGCGTTAAAATAGGTATGTATATTTCGATTTTTCGATTTTTTAAATTATTTAATCAATTTTATTAATTTTTTCTTATTTATATTTATTTATATTACATTTATTTATATTGTATTTAGCTGATTTTGGTTCCGCTTCTTTACGGTGTCGCGCAAATCTAAAACTTGGTACTTTATATTGGATGGCTCCCGAAGTATTAAAGGCCCAGAGTTACGATTGTAAAGTGGATATTTGGTCTCTGGGTATATTAGCCATAGAGTTATTCGAAGGAAAACCTCCATGGTATCCAATGGGACAACGAAGGGTGAGTTTTTTTTTTTATTTTTATCTGATGTTATTACATTTTTATTTGTATACTAATTTATGTTTTCATCAAACTTAAGGTTGTGGAACTTATAAGAACGGTAGGAACGCCACCATTACCATCAGGAATATCTCCTGATTTTGAATCAATTTTAAGAGATTGCTTAATAGTTGAAGCTGAATGTCGACCTAGTGCATGTGAACTTTTGAAGCATTCGTTTATAAAATGTTGTGAGCAGATTAATAAGCTGTCTGTTGAAAACTGCGAAAATTGCTGAAGAAAAAAAGGTCAAATTTCTTTAAAAAAAAAAAAAATTTTTTTTTTTTTTTTAGTGATTGTATATATTTGTATAGAAAAAATGTCACGTTATTTAACGTAATTGTATACGTTATTGAATTTTTGTCCGAAATTTTTAGCAGATTAGAGTTCAGAATTATTTCAAAAAAAAAAACAAAAAAACAAAAATTCCCCTTATCATTATCATTCATTATTATCATTATTATCATTATTGACAATATTATGACTCTATGTTTTAACAAAAAAAATCTGTTTGAATAAAAACATTGATTTACAAAAGTATTGCTCACTAAATTAAAAATTGGTAAGAACATTTATTGTATACTTCGTGAGTACCTGGCCATTTTCATGTATGCTATTGGGTCACTTCTACATGATACACAAACTTCGCTCACCTATCGGAGGTATGCGAAGTTTGTGTATCACGTTTAAAAATGACCCGCGAAGATGCATAAAAATGGCTAGGTGCTTACGTCAGAAATATACAATAACTATGTTATTAGGGTCATGTCATTAACATCCATAACGGTGGCCAAGGGCCACCGTTATCGTTATGGCATGGCAAGTATTAATCGGAAAAGTATACAAACTATCCGATTTTTATATCGATTTAATTGATGTACTAACAAATGAATAAAATATATCAGGCATATATATATATAACTATATATTCAAATGGATTAAATACCTTACGAGAGGCTTGTATAATAAATTAATCTGAGATAATATTAGACTTTATACTTATTGTTATAGATCATTGCCGTGCGGATTCTTCTAATCTTTAAAGTACCACAGTACAATTGCATCAAGATAAGTATATTGTAGAGTACCAAAATACATGCTAAGTCGCATTGTTTAAGCACTAAGAGTGTTTATACGTAGTTGTTTTCATACTTTAAATTCTGGGACAACTGAAATAAGAAACTTATCGATTAGGTCTTGAGCAATTTTTTCATTTGTTCAAAATTTATGAGAAAACAGTTGTAATACAGTAATAACAGGCCCTTTTTTGATGCACGCGTTAATTAGGTATCATGCGACTTAATAATTCATATACTTTCTAAGGTTTATGAGGTAAACATTATTTTTTAGTTTTAATATTTTAGATAATTTCTGTTTTTACATTTCAGAAGTTTGGAGGTTTTATCAAACTTTGAATTTTGGCAAAGTTTCGCTAAATATTATTTCATATGTCAAATAAGGAACGTCAGTGCTTCATTAATACAGAAATATTTTATTTTACTCAGAGGTGGGTAGGGTTGTTAATGGAGCAGCTTACTCTGGAGCACTCCGGAGTAGAACCCAACCCAAGTTGGAGCGGGTTTAAAAATGATGTCTTTAAATTTGGTGCAACCTGGAGCAACCCGGAACAAAACATTGGAGCAAGTCTAATTTAGTGGAGTGAGCTGAAGATTGGGTCAACCCAAACCATCCCAACCCAACCCATTAACAACCCTAGAGATGGGTATTGGCACTCTATATAGTAGATATTTTTAATAAATATACAATATTTATTGTATACTTGTGTGAGTAATTAGTTCACTTCTACGATAACCATACTATTGGGTTAGGTTTTGCATGTAGGGATGGCATGTGATTTAAATCACGATGATATAAATCACTGATTTTTTATTTAAATCTTTTGTTAAACACTATCGCTATGTCATGTTGCATCGGAGATTCTGTGATTTAAAAATCGCATTCAAAGTCGGAATTTGAATATAAATAATTGAATTACGTAATAAAGATCAAATGTTTTAAATCATTTTTAAATCACAAAATTTGATTTTTGCCATGCCTATGCCATAGCGATAGGTAAAAAAGTGCCAGGCGCCATGCCTAAAAAAGTGCCAAGCACTTGGTAACCTGTGTTTATAATACGTAGTGCTTGGCACTTTTAGGTCTGGCTACGTGTCTAGTACTTTTAAGCCAAAAATGAAATGTTCGTAGGCACATAAGTGCCTAGCACTTTTAACAAAAGTGAACATAGGTACAGAAGTGCCAGCCAGGCACAAAAGTGTCAGGCACGAAGTATCTATAGGTACAAAAATGCCTGGCATTTTTAAACCAAACAAAAAAATGCCTATGCTCTAAAATTCTTAGGCCACGCAGATATTATTAATGACAATCGCTGTTTTATTTACAGAGGATGCTACGTCATAACGGTGGCCTTGGCCACCGTTATATGTACAGTACGTATCTCAGTATCCTAGTGAATAATCAGATCATCAATAACAAGTACACACACATACAAAAACATTGTTTTTGACCCACTTAACCTATTTTCATTGATCATATGGGTGATCGCGACCATGATTGCATAATCTGTAATAAATTAAAAGTATATTAAAGTTTGTATAAGTTAAATACGAATGTGAAATGAAAATGATGTAATAATTAATCTTTTAAAAAAGAAAATATACCGTAAATCATAGCTATCGAGAAACCCATACAATTGTTGTTAAATCACGGCATTAAATACATACTATACTACAGCAAAAAACGTCTCTAAGTTAAACTCTAATAAGGACGGCTGTCATCAGAAATTGTGAAATAAAATATAGAAATATAATTCAAAACCGTATTAATTCTTCACGCAAGATGGCTTCCCCTTCTTTCGTATCGGTAATAACGGTGATGTTTAGTTACTATTTGGGCGAGCCGTTGAACATTATTTATATTCGCTTCCTCTATCACAAAAACATCCGTTACAAAATTCAAAGCCGAAAACGAGTTAATTGAACAGTAAAACAAGGACTTGTGTAGTTGAACGCGACATATGTAATATAATATGACAATGCTAAATAATATATACTATATAATTTTTTTCTTTATCGAATTCGAGATGTGCCGTTAGTGTTCCGCAAAAAAGATCCGAACGGATCCGCTATTTTTAATGGGCATGAAAATAACATTTTACAAAGTGTACTCGAACTAAAACTGTACATATAATTAATATGGAAAATATAGACCTGGGTAAAATCGCCACCCAAAAAAGTTTCGAAAATCATGTGATATTGTCAATTCATCATGATTAGGATCATGATAATA